CCGTGTTTATATTCCAGTCGGTTTTTGGAGTGAAGACATTCGAATAGCAATCGAGCCTTTTCCTCAATAGCTGCTTCATCCGCTCCGTCATTTTCTTTCCTAACACGAAATATGATTTCGCTCTTCGCCAATTTCAGCCACGAGGCTCCATCCAGTCTGGCTCTGACTTTCCATCCTTTTGTTAGATGGACTGCCATCATCCACTTCCCCTGTACAATGCATGGCTCGAATAGGTCCATATGCCACAAAATGTGATCCCCCCACTTGTCAGACGTCGTTTCTGGCACCTTGTCTGGAACGAAGTACGGCTGTTCACTGGCCTGCGCAATGCTATCAGGGATATCATTACCGGGCATCAGCTTCGGGAGGGCATTTGGAACCGCAAAGTCATCCTCGTCATCGTCTGGCCACATTTTGTTGACCGGGTTTCCTCGAGATTGAGCCTTTTCCCGGAACCCTTGACGATTGTCATGAATCAGTACATTCTCAAGTGCTTGAATTGGCGTAAGCGAATCCGTTTGCATGTGTTCAATGGAACTCGCCCTGTCGGTCACGTCACGCGTTGGACTGCTCGCACCCGCCGATTTCGTGCGAACTTCTTCTTCCTGGAGGCTTGGCGCGTTGCATGCACACACGCTTTCCATTCCCTCTCGCATACGTTTCACTCGCTCCTCGATTTCGAGGTCTGAGGTTTCAGTCTCCTCATCGCTCTTGATCGGATTCCACTCATCATATGCTTTGGCAATCTTGCTGTATCCATCGTACGTCAGCATTGACTGATTTCCTCCGAACTTCATTCGTTCGCTTCTTGCTGCTAACATCGCAAACGACCCCACTTGCGCTTTATGGTAGCCACTATACGCTTCCTGTGCCATCGCTTTGCGAACTATGTAGTCATGCTCGAATGGCGTCTTGGGTTGGCCTTGAAACAAATATTCCCACATCTTGTTTCTCTTCTTGCCCAGCTTGTGGTACATGTCCCTGTCAGGACGATGCGCAGTCTTCTGTCTCTCAACGGTGCATTCGTTTCTCGCATCCTTCCCGAGAATTTCGATGACCTTCGTCAAGTATGAAATGTCTTTTGACGACGAGTCGCATGCAAAAACATGATGGCCAGCGCGCAGGAGCTCCCACACAAGTCCGACATGCGACTTTCCAATAAGAATCACCCCCTGGTCCTCGTGTAGAAACGAACTGCACAACTTCTGCAACCGTTTAGAATGTCGTTCCCACCGCCCATACACCTCTCGTTCGTTTCCTTCCTCACCACCGTGCTTTGCTGTGCATCTCTTGAATTGCTCCTCATCAACGTTCAACTCCACTATCTCTGCCTCCGATTTAGGAGCCCTCGTTACCTTCGTGAGGTCGCCCCCCTCAGCATGCAGGACGACCGCCATCGTGTCCTTATAATCGACTTGCCAGTTTCCATACTTGCTGACAGCCGTTCCGAACGCGAGATAACGCTTCCAAGTCCCGAGTAGCACCTCTGCATTGTCCCAGTTGTAAAGTTGCTTCATGACGGCCTTGTGCTATTTTTGCGGAGCAAATACAATCAGAATCCAATTATTACCGCACAATTTCGTCATCATTTTGCGCAGAGCATCGAAATCGGTTGGCGTCCATASAARGCAGTCCTTMRGGTTGGCGAGATCCAGGATGGCCGCCTTGCAATTCAAGTTCGTGGCCGCAGTCACAATTTCGTCGCCTGCAGGCAGCAACTCCTTCGGTTGCATGTTGACYGGTAGCAATGTCGACCGTCGCTGTTTCTTCTCCCAGCTAAGATTAAGGGCAGCGTTCTTCAACCGCCGCAACTCTGCTGTCAGCAAGTCCACTCTCCCAATCGCATGGTACACGAAGTACTTGAAGTGGAAAGGTGCGTCCCTATACAACGCCACAGTGGCCTTCAGGCCAGCTCCTTTCTGGCCTTTTTCCTCTTGCTCTCCGCCGAGTCTTTTAGGAACCCTCCTGACATATTCCAAAGGGATTCTATCCCTCTCCTCATCCCATTCGGCTGCCTTCACACCGAACCTTTTCTCCAACCCTTCGTAGTCGATAAAGTTCCCGCCCTTCCATTCTTTCCCCTCTTTGTTTTCCGATTTGAAGACGATGTAGTTGAACAGACGCATCATGTATCTTTCCCGTTGCATGATGTCGAGGAGGTTGCTCATGTTCAACTTCCCTGGAGGAACCAGTCGGGTAGTGGCGATGACCTTCTTATCTATCATCAACCGCAATGCAATTTCCTTCTCTCGCCTCGTCATATCTCCAAAACATTTGAAGTTTGATGGAATGAGATCTTTGAAGGACACGGTNTCTCGCCTCGTCATATCTCCAAAACATTTGAAGTTTGATGGAATGAGATCTTTGAAGGACACGGTAGCGTTTGGTCCCCCGTCCTTAGCCACTATGCAATGGAACAGCTCCTTCTTCCTCTGCACCTCTTCAGTGTATTGGCCCGGCACCCGGCCTTCCTGCTTTCCGGGCAAGTCCTTTGGGCATTTGTTGTCGTGCAGCGGCAACTCCCCCGCCTCATACTTCTGAAAAAACTCCTTAACCAGTGTCCATACCGGGTCCTTGCATGTGGCGACATTCATGTACCCCCTCATTCTGTTCGTCCAGTCCTGCTGCCACTTCCCAGAGATACACTCGGTTCACAATGCTTTCTCACACGACTTCCCCATGCACGACCTCAAAAGTTCCCTCCATGTTTTCTGGTGCTCCAAGCCTTTGGGATCCCCTTTGGACACGTTCCCCACAGGCCCGATCCGTTTCTTGCTATCCCAAAATCCTCTGATGTCCACGCAGGCTTGGTGGAACGATGGCAACATAGCACGGTCACCTCGCGTGTTGTCATATGTGGAAACATAATGGTACCCGTTCGTATGGTCATCGTCAAAATAAATAATCCGTACACGATCATAATTCCGAAAGCCGAACACCTCCACCGCTGCAGAGTTCTTCGCCACCGCTCTTTTCATAGCTTCGGAAGAATGTTGACCGGCAACCGGGTAATAGAAAGACTCATCTGCCCGTCCGGGGTCGAAATCCTCTGGAATGACGCGGGTTCCTTGTTCGTCCGCGTCCTTTGATGGATTAATCGGAGCCAGCACCAACTCCGGTGGATCCCACGGAGCCGGATCATCCACGGACTGTGGGCGGGTTGATGCTTCAATTGCCGCTGCCTGCGACGATGGCCGGGTTCAGCGCTCGCTGGTTGAAGGTGATCTCTCCCACCGGTATCGAAAGAATCTGCATGACGTCAATGACCACCCTAGGCGGGTCCTTTCTCTTTTTGCCGTCCTCGTCGTACTCGAGGAAGAAGCACTGCGTCATGTTCACCGCTTTGGGTTTCTTCGTCTCCGGTTCGTCGTCGTCAGGGATGGAGAGCAAACGAGGGGCCACCCCTATAGCATCGTCGCTCGAGTCATCCGATTTCGGGTGCCTCGACGGCCACAAAGGCTTCCTGGGTTGCGACGTTTTGCGAACCCGAGCTTTGGATTTGGATTCCACACCGGCTTCACCAGGCGTACCAGCAGCTGCGTCCAAGGCGAGCCGAGCGTTCTGCATAACTTTTCTTCAAGTCTGCTTCTTAGGCGCGGCTCGCTTCGGCGACGATTCCGTTGTGCGTTTTCCCCTCCCCTTCGAAGTAAGCTCCGCGGAAACATTAACATCCTGTCTTTCGTCTTTCATTTCCTCGTCTTCCATTTCCTCATCTTCCATCTCCTGGTCTTCCATCTCCGAACC